TATATATGATCATAACAATAAAAATATTATATCGTCTGAAGAAGTCCATTTAAAGGAAGAAACGCGTTACATAGGATTTTTTTGTCATTCAGTTACCCACCAGTTGCCTGTTATATATTTAAATATCATATTTATATATCATATTCTGTGTGTGTCTGTAAGTGTGTGTGCGTATATGTGAACGTGTGTGCATATATATGTGTATATGTTGTATGCGAGTGCATGTATGTGTATGTATGTGTTTGTGAGTGACACATTTTAGCTATAACATTTCAAATCATGTTGGTAGTAAATTATTATCAAATTAAAAAAGCAAATGGTGGAAATCTTTTTGAATATTTTGGTGGTGGTGGTGGTGAGAGTCATGATTCTCAAAATATCATTAGAAAATAGAAAATGTTGAATCTTATTATAAATCAACGAAATCATCCACAATTCTTGTTTATTAATTTCACAGTATATTTATAGTGTATATATATATATATATATATATATATATATATATATATATATATATTCTGCACCATTACAATGTCATGTACACAATGCTTGTTTCACGCAGATTGAATATTATACAATGATAGTATGAGATCAAAATTTAATTACCGTAATGACGCATGTATAATACGCCTTCATCCATAATACGCACCCCAAAGTTTGTACTGAAAGTGTGGAAAAATACTTTTATTCACGCATAATACGCACCCTTTGTTTGGTAATAAACCCCTATAAATTGTACCTCTCCAATTTCATTACGGCCAGCGTTTCTTAATCTTATTTAAAAATATTTTTAAACATAGAATAATATTAGTCTAATTTAGTTTTATGATAATTCTTATTTTATTTTACATTTGTAAGTATTTTTAGGTACATATGATTATATTTGACATCCTTATGGGGTCACAATCGTCGAATGTTAGTGTCAAATTGTCGTATGTTTGTGGTGAGTAGTCATTTCGCAACTGTAAACGACCAATGAAACGGCAAGTTTTTTAAAGATATTTTGTAGCTGTGAATTATACGCACCCCTAATTTTGCTTATTATTTTTTTTAGAAAAAATGCGTATTTTACACGGGGCACTACGGTAATTATTCATATTATGCTTTTTGAGGTTACCTACATTCTTTAAGGATGGGACCAATGGTCCAGTGTTTTTAAATTCCAAATTATAAATGATGTTTTCAGTACTAAATTCCATTTGCAAACTTTTAACGATTCTGTTATTTTCCTTTCGGAATTTTTATTTTATTTTATTTTATTTATTTATTTATTTATTTATTTTGCATTGTGTATTTTAATTAATTCTGCAAGAAACCGAAATCAAATTAATGGAAGCACATGATTATTTTCTTTGAATAAAAGACTTGACGATGTTTAAACTTCTAAAATTAGGAAAGGGGTCAACAGCCCTTTTTTTTAAGATGACAGATGTAAAATAAACTGCCAACAGGTCAGTTTTATACAAAGGTTTCCTCATTTTTCAATTTAATTCAAAGAAGACTTTTTTCTTTTTTTATTTTTTACACAATCTCTATTCTTTTTTAAGTTTCCATTTCTTATTTTAAAATTTCTTGCCTAAGATTCATTTCAATATCTTATTTTGTTTTTCTTTGAATAAATTATTTTCTTTTTAAATTATAAATTATTTAAAATTTTTCTTTGAAATTCATATTTTTCTTTAATTCTTTCAAATCCTTTGAAAAAATTTTTACCAAAAATTTCATTCTTTCTTTCTTTTGCTTTCTTTTCAATCATTCTTATTTTCTTCTCTTTTTCGTTTTTCTTATTCATTTTTTTTCTTTCATCTTATCTTATTCTTTTTTTTTCTTTCTTTCTTTCTTCTTTCGTTTTTGTTTTTTCATTTTTCTTTCTTTCTTTCTTTCTCAAATTAAATTCTTTCTTTCTTTCTTTTTTCTTTCTTTCTTTGAGATTCATTTTTTCTTTTTTTTTTCTTCGATTTAATTCATTTATATTATTTTTTTTCTTTCTTTTTTCTTTTATCACCATGGTTTGAGATCTGTCATTTAAATGGCTTTTTTTTCAAAGGCTTTCTTTTATCTTTCTTTTCTTTGAAGAAGAAGAAAAAGAAAATTAAATTAAGAATTGAAGCCTTTCTTTCTTTCAAATTCAAAAAAGCAAAAGAAATTTCTTTAATTTTAAAATTCTTTTTTCTTTTAAGACAACAAAACATTTCTTTGCAAAACATATGGAAAGAATCCTAAATTTCTTATTTTAATCTTTCATTTCTTTCTTTCTTTTTTCTTCTTGTTTCATTTTATTTTTTTTTCAAAAAGATTTCTTTTTCATTAAAACCATAAGCTTTTTTTTTTTCTTTCATTTTATTTTCTTTTTTAACTGTTTCTTTCTTCAAAAATATTTTCTCCGAGATTCAAATGACCACAAGTTTCCTTTTTTTTTGTTTCTTTTTTCATTTTCTTTCTTTCTTTCTTTCTTCGAGATTCATTTCTTTAATGTTTTTGACAACAACTTTTATTTCTTTAACGGACTTCACTGTAAATTTTTTTTCTGATCAAAATGAGATTCATTAAATTTTTTCTTTCTTTCTTTCTTTTTTACTTTTTCTTTCTTTGATCTTTTCTTCTTTGCTTCTTTCTTTCTTTTCCCGCAATACTTTTCCTGTTGCATTTAATTCATTTATATCTTATGGATGGTAATTTTTTTCTTGTTATTTCAAATCAATCAATAGCAGATGTTAATCTTTGATCTGTCGAGGTCTTAATGGCGGATGGCTGGCGTGATTGTCAATAATAATTGTTCAAAAGGCTAGACAATCAAGTGGATGCAATAGAGATCCTCATTAACGAAAACTTGTGACACGGATGTGCCCTCGGAAAATGGAATTGTTTTTGGTAATCATTTAGAAAAGAAGAAGAAGAAGAAGAAGAAGAAGAAGAAGAAGAAGAATGAGATATAAATGTACTGGCGTGGAAAAAGCAACTAAATCTCATATAATCAGTCATTAGCAAAATTTGAATATAAGACAACAAAACAGTAATAAGAAGCCAAAGCATATGGCCTAGTATATAAATAAATATTATATGGGAGCCATTAATAAATAAAGAAGAGTGGCAGCAAGGCTTCAACAGCAGCAGCAGTAAAAAATGAAAGCCTCTCTGGGTGTATTTAAGCGTGACAAGTTGCATCAGTAGTACCCATCAGCAAGTAGACTCTCAACTCAGAATTGTGCCACGGCACAGTAGCTGTGATAGATAGTGAATTAAATAAATAAAAAAGTGGTTTCATTTTCAGGAGTTCAAAAAGACTGTGAACCTGGATAATGGATGATAACTGGGCCGGGCTGTGTGTAATTGTACTGAGTGGAAACGGGTTGAGCAATAATTGAGCGTTACTAAATAAGACAAGATCTTCCTGGATATGGACAGCAGAACGAAAATAATGTACCGACGTAGATTAAATTTAAAAAAAAAAATCTGTTCGAAATTCCCTGGATCGACAATCACCTGATGAAGGCCTTGGGAACAATGGACGAAACGTTTTGACAACAACAAAGATGGAGACAATAATCCGGCTGTAAATAATGAAAAGCCTTGCATCTAAGATGATGCAAAGAGAGAAAAATTAAATTTCTCAATTATTATTATTATTAAATGCAGACAATACAGAGATCAAACTCTATGATCGAACAATCGGAAAAACAGGGTTGACGGCAAACTGGAAATTCGAGGTGAAATAATGAAATGATAAGTAATGGTGGCGGGTAAAGACGGAGATAGATAGATAGATAGATAGATAGATAGATAGATAGATAAGAAAAGACTGTGATAGATAGATAGATAGATAGATAGATAGATAGATAGATAGATAGATAACATTCTTTATTCATTCGGTTTTTCCAGTTACAAGTCCTTTTTTAAAACTGATCGTTTTGTGTACATCTTGTTTAGTTCTTTTTTCGTAACAGATTTAATGTTTAGTATAGAGCTTAGAAACAATTTGCAGTGTGAGATAGGCAAGAAGTAAGGCATGTAGCAACATCAGCACGGCAAAGGGCACTCCTTTAAAGGCAAGGAAGGGCAAAAATATTTTAAGTCAAGTGATAGCGATTGCTGTATGAGTCGTACGATTTTGGAATCAAACACGGGCAACGCCGGGCCATGCTCCTAGTATCCTCATAAACTTCTTGTCTCCTTTTACGGCTTACGGGAACATTACGTTGAAACACCGGTTCATGTATCATCCCTAAGGGTAAGCAACGTCGAGCCTGGTCAGTACCTCGATGTAAACTTGGATGTGCAGGCGGTGTAATGGCTAATACCTCGGAGTTGTTACTTGGAGAGACGAGTTTCGATTCCCGTTTGGTTCATTATATTCACTTACGCGCAAAAATACCCTTGGGAAAGGTATGAATCCATTTCTCCTCTCCCAGCTATGGGTTAAATAGTAACACTTGTATCACTAAACCATTTATTATCTAAAAAAAAACAATTCTTACAATATTTTCAGGATTTAAATAACCTACAAACGGTTGATAAGTCGTAATAACAAACCAATCAGTCGAACAAGTCCTCCTTTTACGCTCATTCAACAACCTCATTGAATGAGTCTCTATCTTGAGTGACTCTTGGACCTTTTATGGGGTAAACAATTAGTAAATAAATACTGTTTTCCTTTTAGCAAGGAAATGATATTTGATTTTGTTGGAGGAAAACGTATGTCCTCATATTAAAAATGCGACCCAGTAAACATCCATAGAGATGCAGTATTTTGCCAGATATGTCACCTTCAGATCGTTACTTTTGTTGGATCAGTGGTTCTAAAAAAAATTAGACAGAAATCGAAGCCTTCATCAAATCAAGACCATACACGTTCTTTTGTAATTGAATACAGACTTTATCTGAAAGGTCATATAAATCTAGGGAAAATATTTTGAAGTGTGAATAATGATACTATTAATTTATATAAATAAACAGATTGTCGTTAGATCGACACAGGCAGAATGAAATAAATCAATAACTAGCTAGATATCAACAGAATTAAATAGATAGATAGATAGGAACAGACTGTAATAGATAGATAGATAGATAGATAGATAGATAGATAGATAGATAGATATGAATAGACTGTAACAAATTGATAGACTGTAATAAATAGATAGATAGATAGATAGATAGATTGATTGCTTGATTGATAAGAAAATTTTGTGATAGATATGAACACACTGTAATAGATAGATAGATAGATAGATAGATAGATAGATAGATAGATAGATAGATAGATTAAAAATAGATTGTAACAGATAGCCAGATAGATAAAAACAGACTGTGATAGATAGATATGAATTGACTGTAACAAATAGATAGATAGATAGATAGATAGATAGATAGATAGATAGATATGAATAGACTGTAGCAAATAGATGGGAAGACAGACAGACAGATAGATAGATAGATAGATAGATAGATAGATAGATAGATAGATAAGAAAAGACTGTGATAGATAAGAAAAGATTTTTATAAAAAGATAGTTAGATAGATAAGAACAGACTATGATAGATAGATAGAACAGATTGTGATAGATAGATAGATAGATAGATAGATAGATAGATAAGAAGAGACTATAACACATATATAGATAGATAGATAGATAGATAGATAGATAGATGTGTGTTCATTCTTATATTTATGAGCGTGCCTGTATATTTGTGTGAATAAATATATACTTTTTGAAAGAGTCATTGAGGGAAAAGATAGGAAAAATAAAAAAGAATAAAACAAAATTTGTAAATAATATTTACAAAAACTAACACAATTTTCTTATCTCATTTCCAGATGGAAAAGATTTCCGCTGTACATTGACATTTGAATGTTTCTATCTAAATCTTTTCACATCTATCTATCTATCTATCTATCTATCTACGTCTTTTCATCTCTCTCTCTCTTTCTTTCTCAAAAGACTCTCTCTCTCTCTCTCTCTCTCTCTCTCTCTTACTTTCTCTCTTTATATCTTAATCCATTTATATCTATACCAGCAACAAATTTGATTAATGTCTTCCGTATCTGGGTCGCAGGTGTGTAAAGCCAATCTTCTTAGCAAAACCCCATTTAATTGTTCGACGTGTTTAAAGATAATTAAAAAAAAAAATTGCAAAGTTGACGTGGCTGCCTACCTGAGTTTCCAAAAACTAACCCTATTCTGACCACTGTGAAGGTCATTCAAACTTCTCAGTTATTGAAGGAAAACCATTGGCATCTGAAACAATGGAATTTCTTATAGATTAGAGATTGGTGAACAGCTAACAGATTTAGCGTTCTGATAAAACTGCTGACGATGAGGCATTTATCCGTGGAAATATACAACAACAACAACAACAACAACAACAACAATAATAATAATAATAGGATCTGTAACAATTTTATGGGACTTTACAATACACACAGACAGTACAATCAAAGGCAATCGCCCAGACTTCGTTATTAGACACGGCAAAGAAAAATGTTGCTCCCTTATTAATATTGCAGTCCCTGCAATGTATTTTTGAAAATCTTCAGAAAGCTGTCAAAATACAAGGATCTTGAAATCGAAATCTCAAAAAAATGTGGCGCATGAGAACATCAACAATTCCTGTTGTAATTGGGACCCTTGGATTGATTGGAAAAGATTCCAATAGACACATCGAAGGGATTCCTGGAAGCCCATGCCTTAAAGAGATACAAAAATTGTTACCACGTGCACAGCCCATACTTTACGAAATGTTTTATCTATGTAAAATATGTGTTTTATTTTAATTTATTTTTTAAATTGGTCAGTGGAAAATGTCATGATGCCATTTCTGACCTTAGGTCTCTGGTTGGGATCCGGAAATAAATGAGGATACACCAGAAATCAAAGGAAATAAAATAATAATAATAATAATAATAATAATAATAATAATAATAATAACAATCTGCGCTGTTTGTTGAGTATGCGGTTTGTGCTTTCATCGAAATGCATATTGCTGCAAAACCTCAGAAAGTTCGATAATATTGTTTACTTGACAATGTTCCTTCTTTGTTCTTGTTAGATGGCATTAGGGGAGTTTAGTTTCAACTAACGTCATTCAAAATTATCGCTTTGATTGTATTATGGTTGCTTTGTCAAAATGGGCGTATTTTTATTTTTTGCGTCTAACATTAAAGATGGAAAAAATAAGTAAGCATTTTTAGCATATAATTAAAGAAATTGTCTTTCGTTTACTGAAATAAACTGAACAAAGCTTTTGATCAACTCAATATACATGACGACTTATTTTAATTTACATAACGCTTGTATGTTTAACTTTCTTTGTTGGCTCAATTTAAGGTAGTGTTGTGAGACCGTAACATACCTACAACATGGACTCTTCTATGACTATATAAAGTATGGAATATAACACTCTAGGAGAAGAAGAGAGAGAGAGAGAGAGAGAGTATTCTAATACCGTCGTATCAGCCGCGTACGACTACCAATATTGGACACTAGCACATAGTAAGCTCCGCTTACACTTACACTATCTTTTTAACCTTTTTGTTTAATATATCTTTCTTACCTCTAATCCATGTTCCGTGTTTTCCTTCCGGGGTCCCAACTTTGGGTCTACATCAGGTAGCAATCAATGAAAAGCACGTAGAATTATCTAAGAAAAAGATACGAATTGTTATATACCGTATCTATAAAGACTAATCTATGAACACTGTCTCAATCCTCATAAATACGTTGGACACGATTGTAAGTCGGGGTAAGATGCTGTATAAGTAATCCACCATTAGCAGTGGTTTACCTACTTCCCGCCGCTGGCGAGTATTTTATTTTGTTAATGTTATAAAGATTACCATTTCGTTTCCAACCTTCTTTTTGGTTATTCCTCATTCAGTAACCGTTTCTAGGTTACAACAGTAATATTGCATTAGTCTACATGTTTTACCCAGGTAAAAATTGTTGCAATTTGGCTGGGGAGTATTTTTTACTTATCTGTTTTAATCATCATATGTTACCCATACTATTTATTGCTGTGTTTAAGTAATTCTTTTAATGGAAACAGTTTCAGGGTTTTTTGTTTTTTTGGAAAACTGCAAGAAGCCCATTGAGAAGTTAGTTCTTTGTTGAGAAAGATGTTTGGGAGAATAAAAAAATGACCTGAAAAATGGCAAAAGACAAATGATCAAACAAAAATGTCTATGTTGTTCATTAAAAGTTAATATATAAAAAAAAAACAATGACTTATTTAGCTTAACAAAACAAACTTCTTGGCCACCAAATACCTTTTGTTAGTTTCATCTGTATTGTATGAGTTGCTTTTTTGTGAATCCTCTCAGACCTGTAAAATTAACTTGTTTTTTTACCAAACTATTATTGGAAGATTTATCAACTACTCTGATTTTTTTAAAACCATTTCCCTGATTTTTTTTTGATTATAAAGTAGTGCAAAAAAGCACTTTTTTACTTAAATTTTGCAAAATGCCAGTGCAAAATGTGACACATGGTCTAATGCTTAATATGAATTTTAAACCTTGAACAAGCTGCAGACACCAGGGAATGCTATGACTTACTAATGTAAATGCAACAGGTGTTATTGTCTCTTAGACCCGTAAAAGTAACTTGTTTTCTTTTTTACTAAATTTTTTAATTATCGGGAGATTTATCAACTATTCTGATTTATAACTATTCCTCGATTTTCATCCCGAGACGAGCAAGAAATTAAATTTTACCTAAACCTGGTCAATCTGCAGACACCAGGAAATGCCGTGACTCACTATAAACTGTTACAGGCTTGCAGATCAATTTCCACTTATCCATATTCGCTAGATATTTATTTGCAGAATTCTCTAAATGAAAAGAATTTCAGTTCCTTGGAAGCCTGTAAAACTTAGCTAGAATATCTATTCAAGATAAAACGTTTTGGCGATTAGATCCGCCTTTTTATGTTGAATCACCTTCGTCATCCAATTATGTCATTGGTAAGAAGAACATTCTTTTAAAAAAAGACTCTTCTTGGATGCTTCCTCGTGTATTACAATCTTAAATTCTTCAGGTCTAGAGTTAATCGTTATCTATCCCCAATAACCACATAATCTCCTCTTTCTGCTTCTTTCATTTAGAATTTTCTAGTTTAATAAAAAGGAAATTAGGCTTACGACCTTATCATTTTGAAACATCGGTTCCCGTACAAATTAATCGATCAATCAGAAAGGAAAACAAACGGTGTCAGATATGCGCCTGAAGAGTTCAAGATTATTTTAAGAGGTGTAGTGGTAGTACGAAAAACAAAGCCGTTGGGCCGAGTTCGAATTTCAGTTACGTTGGGTTATATTCCCTTTTGACTTGTATCACTAAAACATTTCCGTCCTGGGTATGACGTTAGCTACATCCGTGACCTAGGTAAGACAATAAACTAAATCGGCGACCTGGGTAAGACAATAAACTACATCCGCGACCTGGGTAAGACGATAAACTACCTCTGCGTCCTGGATAAGACGATAAACTACCTCCGCGTCCTGGGTATGGCGATAAACTACCTCCGCGTCTTGGGTATGGGGATAAACTACATCCGCGTCCTGGGTATGGCGATAAACTACATCCGCGTCCTGGGTAAGACGATAAACTACCTCCGCGTCCTGGGTATGGCGATAAACTACATCCGCGTCCTGGTTATGGCGATAAACTACATCCGCGTCCTGGGTATGGCGATAAACTACCTCCGTGTCCTGGGTATGACGATAAACTACATCCGCGTTCTGGGTATGGCGATAAACTACGTCCGCGACCTGGGTAAGGTAATAAACTACATCCGCGTCCTAGGTAAGAGGATAAACCACATCCGCGACCTGGGTAAGACGATAAACTACATCCGCGTCCAGGGTAAGATGATAAACTACATCCGTGTTCCAGGTATGACGATAAACTACATCCAACAGCAAGGCCTCTGATCAGGAGGTTTTGAGGAGTGTGGAACCACCTCTTAATTGCGGGTGTTCCCAGGTCCACCCTGACCTGGGGAGGTAGCACCTGTTAGGTGGATCCCAGCTATGGGCAAATAGTTAAACCCCAAACTGGGGTCAAAACACTATGAAAGTGTAAAAATAGGTTTTAATACCAGAAATACTTTGTGAATAAAAGTATTACCAGCAATACATTTTTTGAAAAAAAAGAAGAAGCTATTACCAGCAATAAAAAGTTTATCGACATTAAATGACCCATTGATGTTGATATGCCGTAAAACAAACCAAAAACTAAAACATTTGGAAAGCCTGAATCGATTTCTCGCCGGGTTTTGTTTCATTTTCAGATATCTTGAAAAATAACTGGTCACTGGCATGCTACAATCGCTAACAGAAAATAAGAAACCACTATACTAAAATTTCCAATTGCGTTTCAAATGAATTTCAAAATCAAGAAATTTTAATTAAATAAAAACACAAATCTCTCTTCGATCGAACCCAGTTGAAGAGAAGTAGCCCTTCAACAGAAACAAAGAAATTCAACATTTATTTATAACAGCCAGAGTACTTAGCTTTTAAATAAATTGCTTTTCCATTCAATAATGGAAACAAACTCAAATTGCTTAAAACAAAGAAGAAGAGAGGCCTACCAAGTAAGTAATAATAATAATTGCCAATAGAAAAAAAATACAAAACCTTACAAATTATAAAAAAAAAAAAAAGAAAAAGTTTTTGTAATAATATGAAATGTAATAAATAGCTCAAATTTTCCTGGTCAATAA